TTATGATGACTATATTGTTATTACATTATTATCATTGCATTATTATGAATTTATTATTATTACATTATTATTATTATTATTATTATTATTATTATTATTATTCTACTGACATATAAACACAGTATGTCACAGCAAACGAGAGATCTATACGCTGGATTTCGTATCACAAAATCACAAGTCGAACACTTCCCAAGCGTCTAGGACTGTGTGATGTATTTTCGAATTATTATTATTATTATTATTATTATTATTATTACATTATTATTATTATTATTATTATTATTATTATTATTATTATTCTACTGACACATAAACAGAGTATGTCACAGCAAACGAGAGATATATATGCTGGATTTCGTATCACAAAATCACAAGTCGAACACTTCCCAAGCAGATAGAACACTTCCCAAGCGGATAGTATTTTTGAATGATATTATTATTATTATTGTTATTATTATTACATTATTATTTTATCATGCACCCAGGTCCACAGTTCAGCCAGTTAACCCTTTCACAATGAGGAAATTGGTTTCCATATGGAAGGTTGACTTGGGGCACCTTCTTTATCCTGACACATTCCATCCTGTTTAAAAATTTCAGCAGGGATCCCATCAGGTCCGCTGGCTTTGTTATTTTAAGACCATCTTTCAATGCCTTTCCCTGTCCGCCAACACTCCGTTTTCCATCCTTGAGTTGTGAGTATAGTAACTGCTTTGGGAGATGGTGATCTTTGGGCATTTGAACAATGTGGCATCGTTTCGTTGCATAGCTTCCAGTCCCAGGAAGATGGCCGTCCAGGAAGGAAACAGACTTGCCATCTCAGCCCCAGATTATTATTCATATTATTTTACTGGCACAAAAACACAGTATGACACAGCAAATGAGATATATATGTTGGATTTCATATTATTATTATTATTATTATTATTATTATTATTATTATTCTCATTTTTCTCTCCACAAGTGGATTATGTATCTGTTTTTAGGATTAGACTATCATTATTATTACTATTTGAAACGCAACAAGATTAGCAAACAAGATCATTATGTTGGTTGTTGTGTTGGATCACACATCAGATACTTATATTTATTATTATTATAATAATGTATCAGCGAATAATGTATGCAGATCCAAGTAGGGTGGCCTTTTGCAGCCAACAGGTGGTAATTTTGTCAGTACTGATTGTTTTTAAGTACAGGCCAAGGTCTTTAGGAACAGTGTGCCGATCACCACTGGGACCCCCTTGACTGTCTTGTGCCGGTTCAATCTTTAAATCCTCATATAGTGGAGCTTTTCCAGTTGTTTCTCTTCAATACTGCTATTATTATGTTATTATTCCTATTATATCATTACTATTATTACTATACTATATTATATTATTACTATAACTATGATTATTATATTATAATTCCCATTATATATCCCTATTATTACTATATTATGATTGCATTATTGTCACTACTATTACTATAGTTATTACTATTTTTATAATATTGTATTATTACTACTATTATACAATGACTATTATTCGTACTATAGTATTATTACTATAGTATTATTACTATAGTATTATTACTATTATTATGGTCAATGTGGATGCCTTCCTTCCTTCCTTCCTTCCTTCCTTCCTTCCTTCCTTCCTTCCTTCCTTCCTTCTTCCTTTCCTTCCTTCCTGTCCCTCCTTCTTTCCTTCTCTTCCTTCCCTTCGTTCCCTCCTCCCTTCCCTCCCTTACTTTTTCCTTCCTTCCATCTTCCTTTCCTTCTTTCTTTCCCTTTCTTTCTTTATTTCTTCTTTTTCTCTTCTTCCTTCCTTCTCTACCTCTTCCCTCCCTCTTCCTCTTCCTTTTCCCTCCCCCTTCCCTCTTTCCTTCCTTCCCTTTCCCTCTTTCTCCCTCCTTCCTTCCTTCCCTTCCACCCTTTCATCCTTCCTTCCCTCTTTCCTCCCTCTATCTCCTTCCTACCTTCTCTTTTGTTTTTCTTTTGTTCTCTCTTTCCTTTATCCTTCCCTTCCTTCCTTCTTCCTTCCTTCCTTCCTTCCTTCTCTTTCCTTCCTTCCTTCCCTTTTTTTTTTTTCTTTCCTTCTTCTTCCCTTCCCTCCTTCCTCTTTCTTTCTTTCTTCCTTTCTTCTTTTCTTTTCTTTCTTTCTTCTTCCTCTTTCTTCTCTTCTTCCCTTCCTTCCTTCCCTTTTCCTTCTCTCTTTCCCTTTTCTTTCCTTTCCTCCCCCTTTCCTCTCCTTTCTTCCTTCGCTCCCTCTTTTCTTCCTTCTTTTCCCTTCTCCTCTTTCCCTCCCTCTTTCTTTCTTTCACTCCTGCTTTCATCCTTTCTTTCCCTCCTTTTCCTCTTCTTCTCCTTTTTCCTTCCTTCCATCTTTCCCCTCTTTCTTTTCCCCCTTCTCTTTCTCTTCTTCCTTTCTCCTTCCTTCCTTCCTTCCTTCCCTCTTTCTCTTCTTCCTTCTCTACCTCTTTCCTTTCTTCCTTCTCTCTTTTCTTCTCTCTTTTC